GGCGCAGCGTCACTGGCCCTCAATGTGAGATCCGAACCGCAGCCCTGCTGCTCAGAGCTGGTGCTCCCAAGCGAGCTCTTAACCAGCTGAACCACTCGGCCGGCCCGATGAGAACTTTTAAGATCTACTCTCTTAGCAACTTTCAAATATATGATACAGTATTAACTATAGTCACCATGCTGTACATTACATTCCCAGGATTTAGTTACCTTATAACTGGAAGATTGTACCTTTTGACCGCCGTCACCCATCTCCCCCACCCCCTGGCTTCTCATCCTTTTAACCTTCACTTTTGAACCAGCATAACCTCAAAGGGCAAAATGATGCTGTATATCAGGTTCACCTCTTTGGGCTTCCTTTCACTCCAGGATCTTGGCTTCTCAATCCCCTCTGCCTTGTAGCTCTGTGATGATATCAAACAGATTAAAAATTTTTTTTTCTGTCTAGCTTTTCCAGTTGATCTCACTGGAGGGTTAGTCTGAACAAGCTAGTCCACCATTGCCTGAAGTGGAAGTCGCTAATGAGATCAGATTTGAATCTTAGAGAGATCACCCTGACTGATGTAGGGAATGCTTTTGTTGGGATGAGGTGGGGGGACAAGCTGGAGAAGAGAGACTCATTCGATGTGCTTGCAGTAAGCGGCCTGGTAAGGTGATGACATCTGGGACTTGGGTGGCAGACGTGAAAGAGGCGTAGATGAATTTGAGGGATGTGTATTCATTCATTCATCATGTATCTTTGCAAGCCTGTCCTGTGCCAGGAACTGGGCCGGGTCCTGGGGACCAAGGTCCTGGTGAAGTGATAAAACTGATGATGACCGACGGGGGTGGTGAAAAGGAGAACAGCATCCAGGATGATTCCAGGTTTCCAGCCACTGGGGGTTCTGGGGTGAGAAAGGTGATGAGCTCACATGAGGGCAGGAAGTGCTCAGTAAATACGTACTGAGCGAAAGGAAGAACTTCTAGGAGATGTTCAAGAGCAGATACCCACGAGGCAGTCTGATCTCCAAAGAGAGGTTGGGGCTTGGGCATCCCTCCTGCCCCCACCCCCACCCCCTCCCGCCACGAATAGGGTACTTGAGGCTTTAGAATGGGTGAGGTGGCTGAGGGAGGACAAGTGGGATCCAGGTCAAAGTCCTGGGAGGCCCCAGCATTTAAGGGGCTGTGGAGGAGGCGATGGATGAGCAGCCAGTAAGGTGGAAGGGGAACCAGGCAGAGGGATTCGTGAAAGTCAAGGCAGAGAGGAAGCAGTGGTCAGTGGGGTGAGATACCCCAGGGAGGCCAGGCTCCAAACTGACCACTGGGATGTAATAACAAGATCACTGGGGTTCTTGGCACGAGCCTGGTGGGTGGTGCCCAGTGGGATTGGGTGGGGAAATGATTGGGAGGCAAGGGAATCTGCCCAGGCGGAGAGTTAGCTGGTCTAGAGACCAGGGATTTTCTGGGGTGCCTTTGTCTGTGGTCTCGGGGTGGTCCTCTAGCCCCCAACAAAAGGATGCAGCTGTGGAAAAGGCTTGTCAGCTTATTCAGCTTTGTCCCTGTGGATATGATAGACATGCAGTCGGACAGGAGATGAGCTGGGAGAAGGGTAATGATGCCATATGCCATGGAATCCATCCAAGCTGGAAAAGAATAGAGGTTGGGGGGGGGTAGTTCATGGCATTATGAGATAGGCAGGACCACGGGGACAGCATTCATGGGGGCAGCAGGCCAAGAGGCTGTTAACACAGCTCCTGGGGGTCCTATGAGGAAGCCTCCTTGTGGTTTCTTGTGAATATAGTCTTGTTCTCCTTTTGTCTGGTTATTGCTGGTCCCCAGAAAATCCGTGACCAAATTTTTATTTACTCTGGTCAGTTTTCAGGTGATCCTTTTAGGTTTTCTTAAGGAGCTATCAGGTCTTCTGAAATAAGGCTAATCCGGGGATCACCTTCCCAATTTACATTCCTTGTGTTTCTGTTTTGTCTTATTGCGTGGGCAAACTGGATTTCCTTGTTTTGTTCTTAAGTTAATTGGCTGATATTATAAAGTGAGTTTGGTGGGTTTTCAGTCTCTTCTGAACCCCTGGGATTCATTCTTCTTTCAGCAAAGTTCTCTGGCCTAGGGCTTTGCATTCTTTGAGGTAATTCTTTGATGGCAGTTAAAGTTTATTCTTTGATCTATTTTTTAAACATATTCTTGAGTCATCCTTTCTGTCCTTTGATATTTTATCATGAAGAGTTTCAAAGGGACAAAGTGTCAGTGATGTGTGAGACAATGTAAGGCAGTCTAACACATGTGTCATTGGGGTCCTAGAAATAGATGGGTGGAGGGGATAGAAAAAAAATACTTGCAGAAATAATAGGTAAAAGCCAGAGAGTTGATCAATTGCAAAGGGGAGAAGGCAACTTTTTGGATGATGGAAACGTTTTATATCATGATTGTGGTGGTGGTACAACCTTATGCATATGTTACAACTCATTGAATTGTATTTAAGGTTGGCAAATTTTATTGTATGTAAATTTTACTTCCATAAAAATCATGATTTCCTCTTCCCCCAAAAAAGTTTCAAACATACAGCAGAGTTGAAAGATTTCTATATATGGAAACAACCAAAATGCCCATTAATAGATGATTGGATAAAGAAATTGTGAGGGCTGGCTAAGTGGCTCAGTTGATTAAGAGTTCCCTCAAGGGCCGGCCGAGTGGCAGATGGTTAAGAACTTGGCTTGGGATGCCAGAGGGCCCCGGTTCGGATCCCACATGTGAGGGCCAGTGACACTGCCCTCTACAGCTAAGATGCTGAACAACAGCTCAACCTGG